GTATTTCATATTCCAACTACCACAGACGCTGGTGGCTAAAAAGGTTTCCATCTGATTGCAGATACTGGTTTGTTGTTACAAAGCTAGAAAAAGAAAAAAGTGACTGAATAATTATTCTGCTGGTTCAAATTTACTTCAGCACAATATGTACTTCATTCTGGTCTAATTGCACTCAATCAATTTTTTTCTAAGCGGATTATACGTTCATAAAATAACCCTGTCAGGATTTAAGAATAGGGGATATTTGTTTTGCAACCGTAGTGAAATTTTGATGAAACTTTTAAAAAACTGTGTTGTCTGCTAGGATCGTCAACTAAGAATGAAGGAATCAACACCTTTGAATAAGTTCTTATCACAAAATAAAAACAGTATTTCTAACTAAGATAAAGCAGCAAATGATATTAGAACATCACCTTTAAAAGCAAATGGTCAATTAACATTGAAGTAAATATCAATGGCTAATATTTAATGCCCTCCAAAATTCCTTTGTACAGTGTAAATGCATTCATGAAAGTCACATCTCAGCCCGCCGTGCCTCTCTACTTCCCTGTCCCGTCTCTTCCTGCCAGCCAGGGTACCAGGGTCTGTGTGGGAGTGATTGTGCAGCGCAACTGTTGGAATTTGGCAGTGTTCGTGGGTTGGAGAGTCGCCCCACGCTGAGTCCCTTTCAGAGGCCATGCTGGGCACTGTGAGGTTGGGAAGTTTCAGTCAGCCGTATACAGCTCAATGGACCCCACAAAGGCGATTACAAGCCCCAGCGCATTCTTGTAGAGATGTGGGAGCAGTGCAGGTGTAAGGGGGGGTGGAGGATGGGGTTTGGTGTAAGGGGGTACCCATCAGAGCAGCGATGAAAATGGGACGGACCTGAGACAACACAAAGCCAACTGCTTCTAAGGAACCAGGGTGAGAGAGCAGATAATAAGTGTGTACAAGATGTGATTCAAGAGGATTCAGTGTAGCACATTAAGACATTACTGATTATTGAAAAAGAGAGTTACTGATGTCCTAGTAACCTTTTCCATTTTGACACCACTCTGAAGCATTGTTGTAGACCCTTAAAGAGTTCAAAGTATCTGGGGTATTAACACCCCTTAAGATCCTGTTTTTCTTTTTATAAACAGTAGATTGTTTGCAATATAATTTCAGTTATTTTGGTTTCATTACTATGGCCTAAACCAGACCCTAATCCTAACCATTACCAATGCATACTTAACCCTAAACCTAACCTCCAACAAGATAACTTTTCTTAATGGAGACCAGCCATTGGTCCCAACAAGTACTTGTAAGTGGCCATAAATGTAAATATTTCAGTACCCCATGGCTCTTTGTCCTGGGGGTTACAGCTCTGGGTTTCCAATGGCTATTGGCCTCAGTGCAGGGTTGATGGCTGCTCTAAGCTAATGCTTTGCATCTGGCAGCCTTGGATTGATGCAGCCTTCCAGAATCTAGCTGCTTTTAGCTGCAGTTTATGCTTTGGATGGTGAGTCCTTTATCTCCACACATACAAACCTCAAGGGTACGATCTTGGGTCGACATCAAGTCTATCACACATTTGATCCCATACATGATGTTCACCAGAGGTGTCAAGTAACGAAGTACAAATGCTTTGTTACTGTACTTAAGAACACTTGTTAGGTATCTATACTTTACTATATTTCTTATTTTTCTTCCTGCTTCTGACTTCTACTCATTATATTTTCACACAAGTATCTGTACTTTCTGTTCCTTACATTTTTAAAACAAAAGTTACTCATTACTCTTGGCTTCAGTTTAATGTTTATAAATATTTATTTCACATCATGTGCGCCATCCAATGCAGATCATTGGCGCCATCCACATCAAGTGAAAACTACTGTAATTGGAAATGTCTGAATGGTCGGACACAGGCATGAGCGTATCAGGAGATGGAGACGGAGAACAACAAGACCTCCCTCATCCTTGGCCCTATCTCAAAGAATTTTTCGAAATAGTTGAAAAATTGAGCTTTCAATTCATATAGTGGCATCTGGCTGTTTTTTTTAACGGTTACTTTATACTTTTATACTTTAAGTAGTTTTTGGAGCAAATACTTTTTCACTTTTACTTGAGTAAAGAGGTCAAGTTGATGCTTCAACTTTTACCAGAGTGTTTTTAAACTGCATTATCTATACTTCTACCTAAGTAACAAATGTGAGTACTTTTGACACCACGGATGATCACCCATTCACACACATGCAAACACAACTACTCACTAGCACACAATCACCCCAAACGTTTAAAGTGCATACCGACATAGATTACTATAACGATATTGCGGTGTGCAGAATCCCAATTGTGGTTTTAAACACAATTGGGATTCTGTCTTGAAATATTTGTAGAGCACATGTGGCCTGAAGGGTACGCCTTGGTATGGTATGCCTTAAATGGTTTGGTATGCCTTAAATGCCAATACAAAAAAATATTTTAATTAAAAAAAAACATTATCAATCAACACATTTGGAAGCAAGTTAGTTAGCATAATGATATAGGCCTCTTTAAAAAAATTTTTTGAATTTATATATACCTTTTTTTATATTTTTTTATCGTACTTTTTTTTTTTTTTTTTACTTATGATCCAATTAGAATGACTCCTTCACCCCTTGACCAAATGCAATTCCTAAGCATTAGAGAAGTTTGTTTATATCTGATGTGGTCTATTTCACATCAAAGGACTGTTGGAGACATGCAAAAAAGTGCAATTTTAGTACATAATGATGCACAAATCTAAACACATTCTGATGATTTATTAAGCTGAAATAATCTTTAACCATATTTCCCTGAACACAGATTTATAATGCTGTGCAAATCTATCAAGATTTTTAGCCACTTCTATCAGTGAAGTATATATTTTTTAATATGACATTCACATGGGATATTGATGATGTTTTAAAGATGCTTTGACAGTTTGCACAGTCCCTATATGCAACAACTGGGAATAGGTTGTTCAACTGCTGTGTTGAGCTGTTAGTCATTATTCCATGATTACGTGATTTTTCTAGCAAACTTTATCACCCCAATTCCATAGTTAAAAACCTTCCATGTTTTGTTTTCTTTCAAAGCTGTAGCAGCTAGGAGGGCCTTGGAAAATTGGGAGAATAAATAACAAAAATATGCAAAATAATTGCAGAAAAGCATTTTTTTTTTATCATCATGGCTTACAAAGTTTTCTGCTATTATTATACAATAGCTACAGCATATTTAGGTGACAAATGTGAATTTAAAACTGAACTTCTAGGCTCTGTCCAGCCTGCCTGTCCAGCAGTTCCAAAACGAGTACTCTGTCCAGCAACAGTATGAGCACACCATGGCTGACAGGGCCCTGAAATGCCTTTCCCCCTTCCAAAAAACATACTTGTGTCAGTCTGGCTTTTCTACATTTAAAGGTGCTCAAAACAAAACATAGAGCAAGTGGACAACAACGCGTGTATGGCACTTACAGACATTAAGCCCATCCCCTCCACTACTCACACACACAAAATTACAGGGGTTTCATTTCTTTAGTTCTGCCCTTATTGTAATATAATATAATATATTTGGAAAGTTTTTTTATTAAATAGGAAGGTAATATAGGGTTTAAAAAGATGTTATTAAATACTCTTATGTTAAACAAACATAACAAGTTTTTACTGAGATTTTTCTTTCAATTTTTTGTAATACTTTTTTGTTTTTTTTGGAAAGGGAGGTCCCTGGCCAGAAGCTATTGCTGTTTAGGGGCAGTGATTATGAAAAGTTTGGAAACCCCTATCATAAAGCACAGATGACCTCTTTTAATCACCACCAGCTCCCAAAATGAGATCTGAACTCCACCCAAGTTTTTTTGGTAGCCCTGAGGGATTGCATGCAGTCTCTAAGCAACTACTGGTTCAGCATACATAGCAGCGCATTTATAAGCTTCACTTAATAAAAAAATTTCCATAATGGAAGAATTATTGAGTGTCCAGCCAATGATTAATATTAACAACAAATATGACTATCAGATTTATGTCATCAAAACTTAACAGTTAGATAAGCAGATTTTAAGGGGTGAGGGGAATGTGGGTAAATGTAGTTTATCTTTTTTAAAGCAAAAGTCCGGTCAGCAAGGAATAATCAATGGATCATTATTTATACCTAAAATGAATACGTTTGCAGTGATTTAATGAATTTATTGTTTAATCAGTAAAAAAATAAAAACAATAGTTTTTGTCACGATGACTGAGTACTGGACAGGCCATTTTTGCCTGAATATAGTAAAACCTCACTCTTGACATCTTTCAGCAGTGACCTCACGGTGCGGTAAACTGAAGGCCATTCACCCCGCTTTACAAGCAAAATCAATGCGAACTACTAAACACATCTGCAGTCAACATCAATTATTTAAGATTTCGAGAGGACTTCAACATTGAAATTCACGAGAGCTATAGTTAAACTGACAATGCCCACGTTCATGGCAGCTGTATGTTGTAATACATCGGGTAAAAGTGAAAAAAAACTTTGTTTCATTGTTTGATTGCCAATTTAAGGAGAGAGGATTTTCCATCGAACATCTGGCCAGAGAAAAAACACGTCATATGTAGCCAACATTTTGAAGAAGATTGTTTTCAAGATAACTTGGATAATAGCGCGTAGTGACAAACACCAGACACAGCACTGGGACTTGTTCAACAGCCGATACCGCACCGTGACGTCACAAACTTGTAGGTGGCAGTAGTGCTCTTTGACAAACATTGATGTCTCCAGTAAACCACATTCAAATTAAAATTACTCTTAATTAAATCCCTATCATTTATTGAACAGCATGTAATAATTTCATATTTAAAGTACTTTCAGAAGTTTGAATTCTTAATATGACCAGACTTTTCCTAGAGCTTTTGCATATAGAAGAATACATTTACATTGTTCTAAGTTCTAACTATTGTTTTGATCATACACTTGCTATGTAGATAATCTCTCTTTTCAAAACAGTCTTTTTTGACTTGGTCACCACTCTATTTTAAATCCAGGTGAGAGGAACCACCCAGATGTCCAGATTGTGCCACTACAACAACGGCTTCCACGCCTCACATGACCAACCCAGAAAAGAAGAACCACTGCTGAATCTGTCAACCCCACAGACAGAGTGGGCTGAGAACTGATGAAAGCCAAAGCAGAGGGTCACCTTGGTTTCAACAAACTAAACAGCTGTTTGACCCAAGTCCAGGTACTGGATTTGTCTTGTTTTAACCCTGTTATCTGTGTGTAACCCTTTTTGCTTTTGAGCTTGATTTTCAACTTGATACGTTTAAAAAAAGCAATTCATTCTGCAGAAGAAAAAATAAGTTGTGCCATAAGAGAGCAACACAAATTTGTCATAAGACTGAGAAGTGCCATAAATCAAAATGTTCTGCTTGTGCAAAAACTGTACCTCTTCACCCCATCCCACCATTGGGCTTTGCCTTAATGTTGTGCCAGTTTCAGTCGGAAATGTGGAACTCCCTAATTCTTTGCGTCATGTCCTCCCTTTCATTATTTCTGTCAGATTTATCATTTAATGCTTTCTTTTAAAAAAGAAACTTTGATAAAGACACGAGGTATAAACAAACTGATGTCATATTTGCAGCCTAGGAACACCTCTACTGTGATTCCACTAATTTTAATGACACTTGTAAAAGAGCCAAAATCCGGATTAATATTTTTTTTCCTTTAGATCAAAGTGTCTTAATAAAACAGGCATCATATAAAGTGGTACATGATTAAATATTTTCCTTTTTCTAACGCAAACTAAAACATTGGCTTAGGATTTGTAATCTCATGCTCTTAAATCTTGTAGGTCAAGACAATACCAACAGCTGGGCCAACTTGACTTGCCTTGCCCCTGGACAAGATAATGTTAAATGAGCTCCCACACACGCTGTACTGTCACTAGTAAAAAATGAACTAATATTTACTGTTCAAGACATGATTGATGCTGCATTCTATCTTCTTTTTTATTTTCTCATTTGAGCTAATTACATTCTCTGTAATGATCTCAGTACTGATGCTGGGCTGATCAATCACTCCACACACCTGCCCAGCTCCACCCTTTCCGCAATCAGGTTTCACTGGATCAATCTGTGTGCACCACTATAAACCAGCCCTCAGACCAGTCATCAGGGCCAGATTATCTTGAGCCATACCAGTAAGATTAATCCAGCGTTCATCCAGCGTTGCCTTCCTGTCTGTTACCTGACTTGTTAATGAGCCTGCCTGATCTGATCTGTACTGCCTCTGGACTTCCTAATCTGCCTGACCGCTGAGCTCCAGCCCTGCACACCAAACACCATTCTGAAATAAAATGCATTCAAACATCACTGCCCTCTCTTGGTTGAATTTTGGGTCCAACCACTGTTCCTCACAGTATAATCTGGACAAACATGGACCTATAACCAGACGGTTAATGTCAGGCTGGCATGAAAATATCCATTTCCCAATTGGAGACTGGCATTGCTGAGATTTTAACTCATCTCCACAGCCAGGCTTCTCTGGCCGCATCTTTTCTATAAGCATCAGCCCCAGTCACCATGTCACGCTAAGTGACAACGACATTTCCTAAACTGCGCCTTACCTCCCCCGAGCTCTCTCGGTGTGATTAGAGTTCCCACTGAGTACCATGATCTGAAGTAGGTTTTAAATAAGTCCAGAGCCATGGCCCTGCCTCCTCACCGTCCATTCAACTGCAGCATCAAATTGCTACCCAGGATGACTCCCCCCAGAGTAGCGTTAATTTTACCAGCCATTTTTAAATTTAGTTTCAGTTTTAGTCCAGTTTCAGCATCGCTTGTTAGTTTTTATCACATTTAGACAACATCATCCCATTTTTATTTAGTCTAGTTTTAGTCGACTGTAAGTCAAGCATTTTAGTCTTTATTTTAGTCCAAGAAAACATAATTTTATTCGTTTAGTTTTAGTCAACAAAAACTGTCAACATTTTAGTCTAGTTTTAGTCAGGACATCATTTAACCTTTTACTTTTTTGTCAGCAGATAATATTTAACATTTCCTAAAATTATTTCACATTTCAACATTTTCTTTCATCTTTTTGATAAAAAACACAATTTTAGGGAACATATGCAGACATGGAAGATGTTCTGACAATATTTGCATATTTATTTTGAACAATGCTAAGGTTCAAAGACACAAACACAAATGCTTGCATTAAAACAAATAAAACACACCTGACAAAGGAAACAAATAAATAAAATAAAGTGTCTTATGAACTTAACACAAGTGCTGGCGGTTTAAAGCTAGTTCACATAGAATAATAAAATAAATAGATTTGAGGTCAATGTTGTGGAAAAAAAAACTCCAACTGATACAACAAAAGTGCTTTCCTGCCAGCTATAGCTGGCCTGTCATTGTTTCTGGGTGGCTGGTAGGTTGTTGGTGGGTGGTGTATCTTCAATCTGGAACAGAAATTAATACAATGTCAGGATAGATGCACAGCATAACAGGAATTCCTAGTGTATAAGTAGCATATAGGTCTGTTTTTTTCCTTAACAAAGACTAAGTCTCTGTAAAAACTACATTTGACAATCCATTTCAAACTCATACAAACAACCTGTCGCCGCCTCGCCGTGAATCCAGCTCCTGTCTGCCTCATGTGTTATGTAGGCTACTCTGTGCCCGCCCGCTCCAGGTTTGAAAGTGGGTGTGTGGCGGAAGAGCTGACGAGGAGGAGGCGGAGGAGGAGACATGATTTGACAAAACCATATCATATAATAATATGTAATTTTCGTCTCGTCTTTGTTCGTGAACTAAAATGTCCATAGAGTTTAGCCTAGTCTTTATTTACCGAACTGCATTATCATCTCGTCCTTATTAGTCTACGATAATTATTTCTGATTTACTCCCAGTTATTGTTTATTAGTGGGGATTTTAATCTCGTCTCGTTTTCGTTCGGTACAAAATGTGTGTTGATGAAAATATTTTCCTTTAGTTTTCGTTAACGAAATTAACACTACCCCAGAGGTCGGCTCTACTCCCTGTCCTTACCTTAATCCCAGGCCATGTAGAGGTAAATTAACAAGTCGCTAAAGGCTGGGATAATTCGCCCTTTATCCTATCCCGCTGGCGCAGGTTTCTTTTTTGTAGGGAAGAAGGATGGGTCCCTCAGACCCTGCATTGCTTGAAATCTGACTTCGCCAAATTCAATTGAGAGGTGAGGCAATCCCTCAATGGTCCCAACACTTGCAGGGGAACCAGAAGGGACCTTATCCACGGACACCTAATCCGGCTCTGTGGACTAGCTTTGTAACTTTCATGCGGGAAGGAGCCTGTTTGTGAGGTTGAGTGATACCCGCTAGGCAAAGTCAGCTTCACCACCACAAACAGTCTAGACTCAAGGACTCTCTCAGCTTCTTGAAAGAGCTTGGACTCTTTTCTACTCTGGAGGCGTGAGCAAAAAGAGGAGGAGGGCTGGGGTGTTCTGCATGTCTTCCCCCAGCTTAGGTAATACCACACTCTATGATTCCTTAATTCTGTAAGTACAACATCCATATGTGGGGAATGATAGTGACACCTGAAGGGGAGAAATTTGGAGGAACTACCCAGCAGGTCTGAATCTGAGTAGTGTTTCTCTATTATACATTTGAGCAAGTCATGTATTGTCCATAATGAACACTGTGTTCAAGCATAAGGGTATCAGTCAGTGCGCTTGGGAGCAGGACACCATAGACTAGGGGTCAATAATTGACTCTGTTGTCATATCTTTTGAGATTTGACCATATTTCTTGGACACTGTCGATAAGAGGGGATTGGATATGTTGGGTTGGATATGCTGGAAGAGGAGGAAGTGGGACACACTTGACAGACTGGGATGTTTGGTCTCACTCCAGAATAAGCAGAACCAGATGCAGTGTTCAAACTACAGGGTGATCACACCTCTCAGCCTCCCTGGGAAGACCTATATGCCACGGTGCTAGGAAGGAGAGTCTGGCTGATTTTCAAACTTCGGCTTCAAGAAGAGCAGTGTAGTGCAACCAGTCATGGAACACTGGACTAGATCTACACTCTCTGCAGCATACTTGATGGTTTATGGGAGATATCCAAAACTTTCTCCATACACTTTGTGAACCTGGTGAAGGGATTTAATAGTATAATATAGTGGCTTGTGGGAGGCACTTCAGGAATACAGAGCTTGGGGCCCTTTACTTGTGGCCTTCATCTGGCCAATGTAAAAGTGGCATTGCCGGAATTAAACTGGACCTGTTCCCATGCTTGTTGAAATGCAGCAAGGCTTCCCTCTGGCACTGGTCTTGTATATAACCTTAATGAACAGGATTTCTAGGTGCAGCAAGAGTGCTAGAGGGGGTCTGGTTTAGTTACCAGCAGATTTCATTCCTGTTTTCTGGGGATGATGTGGTTCAGCTGGCTTCCTCTAGTCAAGACCTACAGCATACACTTGGGTGGTTCCCAGCTGAGTGCAAAGCAGGTCTGATAAAGATAAGCTCTTACATCTCCAAGTCAATGTTTTCCAACCAGAAAAGGGTGACTTCTATTCTTAAGATCGGAGCAGATTTCCCGCCAAAGTTGTGCACTGAAAAAAAAATAGAGGTTGACAGAACTTACATTTTCTAGGCAACGTGATGCATTTGGTTTTTTTAGTTTTCCTTACTTAAATTCACGGTTGAGTTTACAAAGATTTTTGAGTTCTGCCAACTTAGGTTTTTGGAGTGTTACATAGAAATTTTGAGTTCTACCAACTTAGGTTTTTGAGTTTCACCTTTAAGTTCTGAGTTCTATCAACTTTGTTTTATGAGTTTGACATATAGATTTTGAGTTCTACAAACTCAGATTTTGTAGTGTTATCTGCAAGTTGAGTTCTATCAACTCAGTTTTTTTAGTCCTACCAATCGTCTTCACTACCAATCATTCAACACACAAAAAATTATGTTAATACAACATTTTTATTGCTTCAAGCCAAACATTGCATCAATAGATACAGTATAAAACCATGTTCAACAACATAATCTTAACTGCACAGATCAAAGTAACCTGACACTGGACCAGAATGTTCTAGATTCGTAAGAGTGATGATGAGGGAAAAAACAGTAAGACACCGATTTAGTAAGAGGAAAACACACAGGTAATTTTTTGTGAAGTAAGTGTATTAACATATATGAAAAAATAACAGTTTTACAAATTTGGACGGCCTTCAGTTTGTTTTTTTCAATTGTAGTCTCTT